ACGCTCTCTGCACTCTTATGCGTGTTGCTGGTGCTCTCTACCTACCTCTACCCTATTGTCTATACTATTAATTATCTGCTTGCCGTACATGCGGATAACCCTACCTGACTTGCATCCGGGACCGGACCCAACTCCTGCGACTGTTTTGGCTCCTGCGACTGTTTTGGCTCCTACAACCTTGAACTGACATATTCCTTGTTGTTTCTCTGCTTATGCTACCTTTCCTGTACTTGTGTGTACGCCTGTCTTGTTTGTCTTGCTGTTTGTCTTGCTGTTTGTTAATTTGGATTTTCCTGACTCTTGCGTGATAAACGCGCAACTCTCCAACTTGCGTAACTGCACTACCGCGACTCTAATTCTAACCCCTCCTCTCTCTACCCTCTCTTCTCTACCCTTCTTTCTGCTTCGTCTGTCTGTACGTTTCTGCGGCAATGTCTTGTAATTACTATTCTACTCGGCTATCAACCGCGTAATCCAACAAAACTCCCCTACTAACCTGTTGCTTTCAACGCATTCTAACGCCTGTTTGCGCCCTAAATGCCTAACCAATCCTTCTATCGAACTCGCATCAACCCCCTGCTCTACCAACCGCGTAACCCATCGCTCTATCACTCCCTCCTCGCCCCCGTACACCAATCCCAACAACCCTCCTACTAACACCCCTCGATATTGACAATCCCTTCCCTCTGCCCTCTGATACCGTCCGCGTCCGTTGTCTTCCCATCGGTTGCACACCTCCTGCGGTACCCCACACCAAAAACAACCCGAATACTCCTCAAACCGCATCTTCTCCTCTACCGCCTTGATCATCTCCTTGGCCTGCCGGCTCTCTGGCCTCCAACACCGCCGCACGTCGTGCCCGCTCTGTCCCTCGCCCGCTACCTCGCATATGCCACACCGCTTTGTCCACCATGCTAACTGCCGGCGCAACCACTCTATGTCGGCGAACTCCTGCTGCCGCTGCTGTGTCAACGTCTGCCGCGGGCCGCGTCGTGCTTGCTGCTGCTGCTCGAATACCCGCCGTGCCTCCTCTCGCTCCGCCTCGACCGTGCCCGTATCCTCTTCGTTGCTGCTGCCTCCCTCGTCCTCCTCGCTCTCCTCCTCCTCCATCTCCTCCTCGTCTTCTTCCTCGTCGTCCGCTCTTCTGCACACGTCGCACTTCTCCTCTCCCTCTTCGCACCCCACCCGCTCCTTCTCTCGTTTATCCAAATACCCGTCTAACACCACCCGCCTGCATATTGCCGTCTCGTCTTTGCCTTCGACGTACGCTCTCACCAACTGCTGCTCCACCTCCGCCTGCTTGTCCTCTGCCGCTCGCTGCTCCCCTTCCTGCACGATCATGACCGCCTCGCTGCACAACCCGTCTCGCCCCGCCCGGCCGCTCTCCTGTGCGTAATCTAACACGGTGAACGGCCAATCGATGTGTATAATGCACCGAATGTCGGGTATGTCGATGCCCATCCCTAACGCGCTGGTTGCTACAATCACGCGCCCCCCGCCTGCTGTGAACTCGTCTAACATGCTCGCTTTGCCTACTGCGTGATGGTGGTACGCGTAACAACCTAACTTCTTCGCCAACTCTTTAACTTTCGGCACCAAATTGCTGTACAGCACAATCTTGCTAGCCTTGCTTGCGCAACTTCTGCCGCACCATGCCCAACACCATCTCTTCCACTTCCTTCTTCTTCGCCGCCTTACCCACCCTGATCACGCGGTACGCTACGTTCGTCCTTGCGGTTTCGGCTCGGAACAAATCGACCTGTTCTCGCTCGATGTACATCCGTCGGAACAACTCGTCCTCCTCGCTCGGCGGCAATGTTGCTGTCAACATCACTATCTGCGTCTCGGCGGCTGCCAACTTGCCCAACTTCTGCATCTCCTTGCGGAAATCGTATCGCCGGTTCAACACGATGTGACACTCGTCGATCACGATCCGGTCCAACTGCCGCGTTGCCCGCAACCGGTTCAAAAACGTCGCGAACTCTTCCCTAACCGCTGACTCGGGCGTCACCAACACGACTGCGGCTGCGTCTGGCGGGCGGCGGCTGTCCCACTCGGAGCACGATATCCCTAACTTCCTGCATCGTCGCATCATGTCTCCTCGCAACGCGATCAACGGCACCACGACCACCGTCGTACCGCCCTGCTCGGCCCATGCTGGTAACATGAACAACATGCTCTTGCCTGCCCCGGTCGGCATCACGGCCACTACGTGACTCTTGCCGGCAACGATGGCGTCGATGGCCTCTTTCTGCACGCCGCGAAACTTAGCCGCCTTGCCTATCATCCGCTGCAACTGCGCAGCCGTGTCTATCTTCCTCAACCAGCCCTACTAATCTATCCTCGCCTTATCTACCTCGCTCTCGAACGGGGCCCGCTTACGCTTCTTGCACCCGTCGTCGTCCTCTACGCCTGCTTAGAACCCTAAAAACCAGTGCTAATCCGTGCTCGACATACAGAACTGCTGCCTCTTCTCTGCTACTGCCCCTGCCTGTTCTATAATGCCTCGTGCGTATATCATGCCCGCAATGTGCACTGTGTGCCCTGCTTGCATGTCTGCAATAGCTAACTACGTGTTCTCCTTATTTTATTCCTCGTTCTCGTCTCCCTCGTCTGCTCGAAACGCGGTAGACCCGCGCAAAAACCGCCGGCTAATGCTAATAGCGATCTCGCGATACGCTGGAATTGTTAATTCTAACCCTAATCTAATCCTGCTCTCGCGCTTTAACGCCTCTCTAAACCAGTCGCTTGTCTACTTGCGACCGCTTAGGTCTGCTAGCCACATGTGCGACGATATTACCTCCTTCTCCTACACTATCGCCTCCAACCGCTGCTAGAACAGCAACACTAACTACATGTAATACACTAACAACTCGCCTACCTCGCGCGGCAAATACTAGTAGATAATCTTAACGTCGCCGCTCACACTGTATCCCTTGTAGTATCGCGTAACGAACACGACTATACCGTCCTTAATAAATATGTTGCGGTAACTACCCTTAACTGTGTTGCTGTGCTAGATGCTTATAATCTTAGGGCCTCTTGCTGGCTGTCCGCCCGCTATGTGCGTTAACACAATTAACTTCTCGCGGAACGCTACTACTTAATCTATGTACTGCTCTACCTCCTGCGTGTTAATGCCTAAACAGGTCCCCCGCTTTATAAATCTGTCCCTAATAGCAGCGTCCTGCCCTACCTGCTAGAACAACTAGCTCTCTCTATTAACGGGCATACAGGTGCGATAGTCCTTTAAAAAATTCTACCTAGGCCGCTCGTTAGTTAGGTTGTCGCGCAAACTGTCCTACAGCACGCTAGGTATAGGCTTAGCAGCCCTGCTGTTGCTAAACAACAACTCGTCTATTAACAACTACTAACTCTCTATTACTAACCCGTGCACTATGCCGCGGAACTGTGCTATGCTAAACTGCAAACTCTTGTACAACAACTCGTCCTGGCTAACCTACTCGACGTAGCCGCGTGACGTCGTGTTATAATAGATCTTTAACCCGTACGTCTGCAAATCTAACATCTACTGCATTAGGCTGTAGCTGCTGCGCACTATAAACTAGTCTATTATCTCCTGCACGAACTACAAACATCCTTTGCGCTAGCGTTAGGGCGGGTTGCTGCTATTGTCGCTCTTGTACGCGCTGTCGCTGTTAAACTCGTCTGTATTATCTAACGGGCCTAACAACTCTAACACCTGCTGCACGACTATAAACCGCGCTACCTTGATGATAGCTGACAAAACGGGCGGATACTGCTTGGCGCCTTTCTATCTGTTCTCCTTTACGCCTAATACAGCTAACGCGCACACTAACAGGCTGTCGTACTCTTTGCGCGTAATAGCCTAGCTTAACAATGCGATGCAAAACTCTAAACACGCCTTCTAGATGCTTAATAATGTCTCTAGCTCGCTAATGGCGTTAGCGGTAGGCTCTGCCGTGTCTGTCTCTATCTCGTCGATAACTTTGTCGACGTCTGCTATAGTTTCGTCTTCTCTGTCTTCGACCTCTATCTCTTCTTCCTCTTCTTTCTCTTCGTCCCCCTCTCCCCTAACGCTTCTCGCCTCCTTAACTAACGCCTCCTACGCCTCTTATTGCTGGCGGGTGAAACGATACGCTAGGCTCTTCTATGCGTGCTCCCGTTGTGTTCGTGTAAAAACATTAATATCTGCTGCTACGGCCGCGTGTGGTCGCCAATCAACTGCTCGTCCATGTACGGCTGCAACGGCTGGAACCGCGTCTAGTGCTTCTCTGTGCGAATCGCCTCTAACCGCACGAACACACCAATCTAGTAGATAACGGACGCTTAACTAAACCGCGCCACCCCTTCTATCGCCGCCTACATCGCTGCCTCTACGGGCTTAGCCTGCTGCTCCTGCCTAGGATTAGGCTCTGCTACAGGCTCTTCTACGCACGCTATTAACTTAGGTCGCTCTATGCCTACTAAATACGGCAGCTACTATGTCCGCTCTAGCTATAGGTTTACCTCATCTCTCTCTCCCTCCTAAATAGTGTTCTGCGTCCGCGTCTCGACGTTAGCCCACGCCTTAGCTATCTGCTTGCCTACCTGCGCCTACGCTGCGTCGCCGTTAATAGGCTCCGCCTCTAGGCTGTTGTCGCCCGGCTAGTAGACCTCGAAATACTGCGACCCCTGGCCCTAGACTAATAACCTCTAGCAATGCACTGTCTTGCAATACTTGTTAACGCGGTCTTGTATATTCTTCTGCTGCACCTAGGTTAGGCGTCTACCTTTCCCTGCTGGCGACCACTCGTGGGCGTCTCGCTAATGCTTCTTTATCACGCGTTCGCTCTAGAATATCTAGCGGCAACAATCAGGGGCCAATTGACACATTAACCTATCCTCGTACACTAGTAACTAATAGATAGGCTTGATAACCTAGCTAGGCACCTCTAACTCGCTAGTATACTTAATTAAACCGGCCTAACTGCTAACCTCGTCTGCTATTAGCTCGGCTTTCTTGCGTTTAGCGTGATAGCTGCGCTGCACATAGCTCTTGATCTAGCTAGGCAAAACGCTATGTCTGCACTCTTTGCACACTGCTAACGCGTACTTAACTAAATGCTCAAAATGCTCGCCTGCGACGCTGCTCTCTGCCATAGCGTTGACAACGTTTACAATAATAATAAAATCTCACGATATGGGCTAAAAACAATTGTTTAAAATTAACTGCCTGTTACTATAAACTCTACATTATATGCTATATTATGGACGCGTCTTCCTACCTGTATACGTAATGCAGCTTATCGCGTATTTGGCGTTAGCGGTAGCTAGTCGTTATCTTAGGACGACTCTAAACCTGGTCTCTGGGGTATTGCGACGTCATAAACCTAACCCCAACCTCCGAACACGAAACCCTAACGCTATTAACCACGCGTGCTGCGGAGCTGCAAATTAGTTTACGTATGCAATGCGATGCGCTAATTAACATACTCGGCTTTTAGACAAATTAGTCTGTAGGAACCTAACGACACCGGCTCTTGAACGTAACGCAACTGGGCCTACGTGCTTAAAAATACGCAGGCGCTGGGATATCTCGTCCCTAAATAGAAAAAAACCCTAACGCAACTCAGGGCTGAGTTTCGTTAACGCCCTAGGATAGGGTCGAGCTCGGCCACGGGCTCTTCGATGCACGCCATCAACTCCGGCCGCTCTATGCCGACCAAATACGGCAGCCACTGCGTCCGCTCCAGCCACGGGTTCACTTCGTCCCTCTCGCCGTCCTAGATAGTGTTCTGCGCCCGCTTCTCGATGTTCTCCCACGCCTTAGCCATCTGCTCGCCTACCTGCGCCCATACGGCCTCGCTGTTAACGGGAACAGGCTCCAGGCCGCCTACTAGACCTTCGTTAGGTGCGTGCACCTGGAAATACTGCGAACCATGGCGGCTGCTGAACAGCCGCTGGCAATACACACGCGTATATCCCTATTCCATCTGCGCTTGCAATCTCTTCTCCCTAATACGACTTAGTCGCCCGCGCTTCTTCCCCGCTGACCATCCTTAGTAGTCCTCATGCCAATGTTGCTTTATGCTCTTTATGCTCCGCAATACCTGCTAACACTAGCTTGGGTTTAACTAGCATAATAAACCGTCTGCGTATATAGGTAACTAGGGATAGGGCGCTACAATCTAGCTCGGCGCTACGAACTCGCTGGGGTACTGCATGACACCTGCCCAGCTGCGGACCTCTAATCCTATCTCGCTAGCGTCTTTGCGTTTAATCTTGTGCTGCTCCTGCAAATGGCCCTCGATCTGATCTGGCCATACTGCGTACTAGCACTCCTTGCATACAGCTACCTAGTACTCTGCTAAATGGTTAAAATACTAACACGCCATACTTGCTCTAACTATGCTGACACGCTAGATTAATAATATCTGCCCTAAACGTACTGTGGGACTTGCTATACATGTTACTCTCTTCGCCTTAATCATGGTAGCTGGGCGCTGCGTTCCGCTCGGTCCTACCTTCGGCGGTACACTGCCGATCCCCTCATCAACATAACCCTAACCTACAACACTACCTCTACCTACGCTCTGCCACGCAAGTTAGGTTTCTGCAAATTCTACAGGTAACGCAGTCTGTTGTTGCGAAAATCGTGTCCAAGTTTAGAGCTAATCCGCCAACGGGATCTAAATCCAGTCTACCTCTGAAATAATAATCCAGTCTACCCCCAAATCTCAGATGTACACGCTGTACGCGTAGTTTCTATCCCTAACAAAGTATTCCAGTCTTATAAGACTGGATTTAGCGCCCTGGGATAGGGCTGATCCCAAATAGCGCCCTAGGATAGGATAGCGACGACGACGGCGATGTCGAAGACGACGACGATGACAACAATGAGCAGGTTGAGATTATGCAGTCGCAGGCACGCTCAAAGAGCGCGCCTGCTGCTTCGTTGCGCCAGACGACGCTGCCTAAGTTGTTTAAAGCTGTAGCGTAAATGTTATATTGTACCTTTTATGTTGTGCAGTTAGTGTGTTGCCTTCTTGTGTTGCTCTTGTTAGTCTTGTTATTTGGCTGCATCTGCGCGGGCTGTCCAAGTCCTCCACGCTAGCGCAACCACACCCACGAACACCAAACCCTAATACTATTAACTACGAGGTTTATCGTGCTGAAAGTCGCATAGATAGAAGAGCCTATCTATGCGAGAATGTTGTCTAAGTTTAGTACAAATTGAGTGCAGAACTGTAATTGGTACGTTACTTAAAATATATTAGTACGATGGGCGTTCTGAACTCTTCGCACGAAGATTGTACATGTCATCACTAACAAAATTAACGCATAAAATGGTACATTATAACGTACCATCTACCCATCTGGGATAGGGCTGAGTCGACTTAACGCCCTAGGTTAGGGGGCTGCAAATTTGTGTTAACGTGCAACTTATCGCTCTAATTAATACATCTAAATTTTGGAGCTATCGGCCTGCGGGAACCTAACTCGACCGGCTTGCGAATGCTACTCGACCCAGCCCCCATGCTTAATAATACGCCGAGTCTGGTATATCTAGTCCCTAACTAAAATGAAACCCTAACTCGACTAAGGGCTGAGTCGACTTAACGCCCTGGGTTAGGGTTTCTCGAGGGATTCTGGGCCATAGCCTTGAATCCCGTCGCCCATTAATGATAGAAGTAGCAGCCTAGTCTGGGAACTTAATTGTAATTTGAAGCTGTGAGGGTAGTTACAGTCCAAGGATGGTCAAACAGTCAAAACACGCAAATGGGTGTCAGACATGGAACACAGAATGATTGTTTTATCCTAACCCTTCCCAAGGGAATGCAGTTGTAGAATACTATGTACGGGTTTTAGCAAAGGTAGGTATGAAAGTGCTTGTTTAACTCATCAGCTGTGCGGCGCACCGTCTCTGCATCGTCGTAGAAGTCATAATGCGATCCTTCCGCCCACACTATCTGCTTCTTTGATCCCAAATTCTCGTACACTGCGCGTGCTTGTTCAGGGAATGCGGCCTTCTCCGAATGCACAATGAGCGTAGGCGCCTGAACATGTAAGGCTTGCGCTACCGGGTCCCAATCGATCCAGGCACCCCATGACGCCACAGCAAACTCGTTACGCCACTGGCGTACGTTGCCGCGTGTTGGATCCTCGTAGTATGGCTTTGAACCAGGGCTGGCTGACTCATTTGCAGAGCCTCCGTAGGCTTTGATAAGCTTAATTTCATGCGTTTCGTTGTATAGCTTGATCGCTTCCTGGCCTTGGGCGCGTCGGAGTTGGATGTTTTCCTCTCCACCATGTAAAAGAGGTGCAATAGAGGCAGATTGAAAGAACCCAGCAACCGTTGCTATTGCTTTAACGCGAGGATCGCTCGACGCCGGGTATAAGACATTTCCACCAGAAGTGCATATCCCAAGAAGGCCAGTTCCTGCTACGTCTGAGCGATGTGATAAATATTCCACAGCAGCAGAGAGGTCTGCGGCTTTAGACTCAGGATCTTCGCGCTGTCGAAAAACACCACCACTCTGGCCATAATTGCGGTAGTCAATTGCCAGACCTATCACGCCACGCCGTGACAATTCGCGTGCGTAAGTTCCTGCCATCATCTCTTTCACACTGGCCATCGAACCGCCTACCGCCACAGCTGGATAGCGCTGGTTGAGGTCATAGTTTTCCGGTAGATAGAGGTGACCTGTGATATGATCGCCTCTACATGCGAAGCTGACTGTCTTTGGAGCGAAGGCATTGCGTGTAGTATTCATGATTGTAGCGGATCGAGATACTGAATGGAGTAGAGTAAAGGGAAGTAACAGTGCTGTAGCCTTAAGCACGCCCATATGTTGTAATGCAGGCACGATGTTTGATCAGAACGGGATTAGGATCGTTGAAATAGTTAAGTCCGCAGGGTAAGTTCGGATGGTTCTGACGATGTTTAACTATGTTAACGATCCTCATCCCGTCCTGCTTAACACCGTCAGAACCATCCGAACTTGCCCTGCGGACTTAAGCAGAACGGGATCAGGATCGTTAACATAGTTAAGTCCGCAGGGCAGGTTCGGATGGTTCCGTCCCCACAGCTTCGGACTAAAAGCGTGCAAAATAGCAGAGCCGAGGTCTACTAAAACAGTTAGCAATTTTCTTCTTCAAAGTTAGTGCCAGTAGCCCTAGTACAGTGCGTCACCATACGTCACAGCCGAGACACTACTACCCGCTATGTAGATTCTATACTCTTTCGTGCGTGACTACTAACCGGGGGCGTCACACTTCGGATTGTGGATCGGCCTAGACTCCCACACCATTCTGTGTGCGAACATTATCGATCTTCAGGCTTTCGCACTTATCCAAAATCACAGGCAAGGACATCTGGCAGTTCTTTGTCGGGTGCCACGGATGACGGACGAGATGTTCCGCGTTTCGACTAGATCTAAAAGACCCCGGCTTTGGTCCAACATAAAGTGCCAAGTCCTTGTCAACGATCACATGCCCAAAACGGCTTGGGGCACTGACACCAAGGGCCAAGGTCTTCCGCAATAATCCGAACACTACTACAGATGGCGTTGAACCCTGCCGATCCTGTTGAGCATGCTTGGCACTAACATGGTTTACAAGCGAGCGCCGCGTACAAGCGAGCGCCGCACCCCACCAACTTTGCGCACCTCTCTCATCTTAACGTACAATGGCTCAGCGTAGCGCTACTCTACCAGCTTCAAATGAAGCAGATATTCAGCTTGCTATCTTCTCTATTAATTCTTATCAAATACAGAGTAATCGCAATGCTGCTGCTATCTATAGCGTGTCTGAACGAACGATCCGCCGCCGACGCGCCAGAGTTGCTATCAGTCAGTTCAGTCAGTTCGAACTGAGTTACCTGACTAATAGCAAGTCTGACCCGGGTTGGGCGTCCGCCTTTTCCTGCTGGCGACCAGTCGTGGACCTTCTGCCAATGCTTCCGCACGGTCTCTGGGCTTCGGAATATCTGACGGCAACGGTCGGGGTCTAATCGACACAACAACCCATCTTCGTACACCGGCAACTGATGGACGGGCTCAATCACCTAGCTGGGCACCTCTAACTCGCTGGCGTACTCGATCAACCCGGCCCAACTGCGGACCTCGTCTGCTATCAGCTCGGCTTCCTTGCGTTTAACGTGATGGCTGCGCTGCACATGGCTCTTGATCTAGCTGGGCAAAATGCCGTGTCGGCACTCTCTGCACACTGCCAACGCGTACTCAACCAAATGCTCAAAATGCTCGCCTGCGACGCTGCTCTCTGCCATGGTGGTACAACAGCTATAATAACAATTCAAGCTCACGATATCAACTACCCGTTATTACGGACTCTACGATATATATCGCGTTGTGGACGCGTCTTCCTACCTGTATACGTGATGCAGCTAATCGCGTATCTGGCGTTAGCGGTCGCTGCTCGCTATCTCGGAACGACTCCGAACCCTGGGGTCTGGGGCATCGCGACGTCATAACCCTAACCCCAACCTCCGAACACGAAACCCTAACACCATCAACCCTATCAGCTGCGGGGCTGCAAACTCGTGTCAACGTGCAACTCAGCTCTCTAATTAATATATCTAAATTTTAGAGCTATTAGCCTGCAGGAACCCAACTGGACCAGCCTGCGAAGTTTACTGGAATCAGCCTACGTGATGTCGCCTATGCAGGGAAATCTGTACATCTCAGCACCGAAATAACTGGAGTCAGCCCTGACTCCAGTTAGCGCCCTGGGATAGCCGGCCATCCTCGTCGATGGCTAACAACAGCAACTGCTTTTGCAATTCGAACCGTGCCGTTTCCACCAATCCGTGGATCATCGACCGTAAACCGGGCATCGTGAAGCGGATATGGCCGTATAACAATGTATCGCCCACCCATTCAATCACGCCATCTGCGTTGGTGTTAAACCAGATCTTCATGCCATACGTACGCAATCGCAACAACCAGTCCATCGGACTGGGCATGCCGCCGTAGCTGGTCAACGTCATGAAACGATTGGCGCTTTCCTTAATCAGTTCAAAATGGCTTACGGCCATTTCATCGGCGTCCTGGCGGGCGTAACCCTCCTTATTCATGATCTCGGTCACGCGGTCTTGACGCGTCTTCACCGCCGTATATAACACCAACACCCGTGCAACGGTAACAATGACGGAAATAATGGGCGTGTACGCTAACGGGTCCTTCCACCCACGATCGCCATCTACCCCCATTACTGCTGTGGCGCTGACGAGCGCGCTCTTGTACTAGTTGTCTTTCAAATGATGGTCCAACAACGATACCAAAAACCCTAAAACGTGAGCCTCTAACAGCTCTTCCTCCTCTTCCTCTACCTCCTCTTCGCTCTCTGAGTCGTCGTCTCCGCCTTCAATTGGTTGGTGCTGACTTCCGCCTTCGGCTTCTTCCTCGTCCTCGCCTGCGACTTGCTTGATCTTCCACAACCACACAATCTGGCTGGCTGTCAATCGATACGGTGACCTCCGTCCCCTGACACCCTTTGATCCACCGTCCCCGCTCTCTTTCTCATCCGCCTCTGCTTCCTGTGCTTCCACGGCCTCCGTTTCCTGTGCTTTAACGGCCTCCAACTCATGGGTCCGCCAAATGTAACGGATGATGGACGACCACCAGCCGGCATACTTAGCCATCGTCTTGCCTGTCTGGCGTGCATTGAACGGTTTCTCGTTGGTCTCGCTTCCCATTTCGCGGCGGTTAACGTAGTTCATTGCCGGAAAACCGACAACGCTTGGACGTGAAGCCTGCTGGGCCTTCCAAATCACCGTCTGCACCGCCCAACAAACTTTGCTCAACGCCTTCTCGTTCCTTCTGGGTTTCTGGATCAATTCGAGCAACCATTCGCGGTCTAAGCCGCCCAAATGACGGGCCCAACGAGTCCGGTTCAACCATGCGTGCGTGACATGCCGGTCGTAGTCTGCCTCGATCCGGTCGTTGGCTATCTTGTCGACCTCGTCCAACACGGCGGTGGTCTCTCGGAACACTGCCTCTAGCTGCCGCTGGATTATCCCACTTTCCCCTCTTGCGTCCCCTTCCCCCTCCCTCCTGTCCTAGCAGTTAACTTCAAACAAACGCCCCAACCGTCCTGCGTGCGTAAACTTCTGGCAACATACACCTCCAATCCATATCCTGTTGGTGTCCATGCACGGTCCCTTAGACGTTCGCCCTCTCTTCCGCGGGTTTGTCCAGTTGTGCTTGTTACGGCAATGCAACTGCATGTCTTGCACAGTTCGGCGGATGTAGCCACATGTCGTTGTATCGTTCTCCTTTGCCTCGCACTTAAAACCGTCCTGCCATATTCTTAAATGGGGTATGGGTTCGGATCCTGGCTCTGGATACACGACTTCGTCCTCGTTTTCTGCCAAGTCGTTCATTGCCCGCACTGTTTGGGCAACGTCTGTTCGTGTGTTTACGGTTAAATATGCATGCTTGCTGTTTAAATGGGTAGCTACATGGGCCTTAACAACGCCTGTGCCACATTCTTTGCAAACAACAATGCGGCATCTGGGGATGTGCACGAATATAGTGTTGAACTGATCCATTGTTCTTTGTAGGTGCATCGTATCATTTTCAAGTAGGCTCTATCTACTATCTCAAACGTTTCTCTCTTCCCATCACCTTGCCAACATCTCCTTTTTAATTTTCCTCCGTTGTACTGCCGTTTAATATTGTACCGATATCCCTATGTCTTTTGATTGGATGCGTGCCTGCCATGTAGTTCTGTGCAACGACGATCAAACCCTCGCACGGTCCTGCCTCACCAAAACTGCGCGGACAACGTTGGACGGAGTTTCTGTGCGAACGTGACAATTAAACACTAACTCTAAGCTTGCCAATCGAATGAACGGACACGCTTTAAGGCTACCGCACGGACTGTTAGCAGACCGCTTACTAAAAATTTCCTTTGGCTGCACCGCGCCTTCTCTTGTTGTTAGTTCGAAGCAAACTCTTCGCCCGCATCCAATCGTTGAGCTCTTGCTCTATTTCTTCTCGTGAGCGCTTATGCCCACACGATGAGAATCTAATATCATCTTGCAAGACTGTTGCTTCTGCTCCATCACATAGCTCGGCCGTACCGCGAGGGGGGAGAGATACGCCGAATCCAAGACAGGTGTGCCAACTGCGACTGAGAGCTCGGAACTCGGCTCGGAGAGATGCAGTCTGTCCTGGACCTTCGCGCATGTCACGTGCGTAGCAAATGCCAGCCATTCTTGAAGTGTGCGCTGCCTGTAAGTCCATGGCTGTGTTGCGCTCGTCAAGGCCGTAGTCGCGCTTGAACTTATTTCCCTCAGGCAAGTGTCTTCGAGAGATTGCGATTGCAGTGTGCCGCCATAGGATAATACTGGCAGTTGTGCTCAGGCCACGCTTGAACTCTTCCTTGATGACTGACCCAAGCCGATCACTCTCCCAAGGCTCCTCTTGAGTAACGTCCTGTTCCATTCCTCCGCATGGCTTGCTGCCCTCTAGAGGCTCAGAAAGTGTTGTTTTTAGCGTTGCAGAAGCATCCACGCTTTTGGGCCACAAAAAAGACCCCGGGTCTCCTAGCCCATGTACAGGAGTAAGGATGTGAAGCTGTTCCAGGAATGGCACGATCAACCAAACGTAATACACTACAAGTTCCCCTACTTCAAGCGGGAGGTAGCGATGGATGATCTTCATCGTGCTAGCTGCAGAATAATTTTTGTGGTAGGACGTGACGAAAGAAACCATGCCGTTTTCTATGAAGATGTTGCGAACATCACAGTGGGCGGAGTTGCGCCAGCGAATGGTGAGTAGCTCAGTTCCGCGAGCAGGCTGGCCACCAGTGATGTGAATCAAAAGAAGGATGCGACGCAGGAAAGCTGATACAAGTTGCAAATAACGCTGAACCTGCTGTCTGTCCCATACAAGCGTATCTGGGTTTGCGAAAAAGAGGTGACGTAAGCGCGGCTCTTGCCGAAGCTGCTTCAGCAGGTACCGTTGCTGACCCCCAAGGAACTCATCGTTGCGCTTGTCCTGGAGGAAACTGTAATTAGCTGAGCACACTGTAGGATCATCTTTCAAGCTCGAGAGCCGCAGTTGGGGCATATTGTGGGCACGACTGTCAGGATCACCTTCAGCTAGCAAGAGCAGACCATGGAGCTGGTTCGGGGCTGCCTCGACCTGATCACGAAGGAACCAGCGCAGACCGTTCATGGAAAGCTCAAGTGTCTTGTAGGATATTCGTTGCCCGTCGTCTGACCAGTTGACAAAGCCTGTGCTTGTCGTAGTGTCTCGCGCTTTGGCGCCGTACGCGCGCAAATTGAGGACCCAGTTCATAGGTGACTCGCTGCCGAAGACCATGAATCGATCTTGTAGCTCACCGACCAGCTCGTTGGGGTACTGTGCACGCCCAGCCCTTGACTCAGACACAGCGTGTTGCACTACCAAGAGCTGGGCCAATTTCACCAGCCCTGATAGCTTGGAGGTGTACAGAACAGCGCTATCGAAGCCACAACAGTCTTTATCAATACCAAGAGCTGCAAGAAAACCAACAAGGATACTATCAGTGATTTTCCCGGTCAGCTTGTGATCGAGCAGGGCAATGCACAGATTGAGGCAGGCTTGTTGCTGCGCTTCCCCCGGTTCTATCGTGGCTGCATGAGACGATAGCATGCTGCATGCAGATATTCGGCTTATCGCTTCGAGTTGCGTTGGAGTAAGCATGTAGTGGAGGTCTGGGCCTTGACGAAGCACAACAAGCCTATACACAAAACGAAGCAACTTGTGCCAGACCACCCGATATCTGTGGTATGTGCCGTCAAGCAGCTTGGTGTGCAGAGGTTTCTTGAAAGGTCTCCCTCGGATAAAGCTGTTGACGCGATGAAGCGCAAAGACATTGATGTCTTCAGAGAGAACAGAATCTCGGGCCGATTCAATTAGAGCATCGAAAGACTGGTGCAAAGCCGTCAAGCCCATCTCCTCAGGGCCAGGCGGCAAGAGAAGCTGGGCCACTGCATTCAGATCTTGTCCGCCGAGATACCTGACCCATCCAGTCTTTTCCAGCCAAAGAGAAAGATGGACCGGGTAACGAAGAGTAGGGCCGTTTATGGTCCTGCTTTCTGCATCCTGGTCTAACTGCGCTTCGAACTGGTCCCAACTCTGAGAAGGTGGAGTGTGTGATGTCGTAGCAGATTGATCTCCATAGCTTGGAAGACTGACGCGCCAAGCGCTAGCACCCCGTCCAACTAAGGTCAGGCGCTGACATGGAACATCACGCTCCCAAGGCACTGGATGCTGCTGTCGCCGGGTGACACCAGAGACACGGCCTCGTTTTACGCTGTTCTGCCACCCATGCTCGATCTTGCAGTGCTTTTGTATGTCCGATAGACGAGTCAATACTCTACCGCACTAGTGTTTGGTGACCGTGTCTCGAAACCGACATTGGAACGCGCTCGAGACAGGGAGGTAAGGGACAGGTGGGCTTGTCGCCGGGGGAGGAACCCAATTAGCAAGATCTGCTTCGTCGCGCAGTTTGATGGGACACGAAGAGAGATAGACAGCTTGCCAAGCCAGAAGTAGGCTGGCACAGTCGCTCCTCAGGTACGTGTGGCCTCCAGATTGGCTAAAGTGCTTGGCAACACGGCTAAGAGGTAGCGCAACACCGCAAGTTTGACAGACAAGGAAGCAGTAGGGCTGACCCACATAGAAGATGAGTTTTTGGAACAGGTCAGCCTGGCGTGCTTAGGTTTCTGAGAAAGCCATGACGCAATTGATACTGACAATGGGAATGTACGCGCTTTGTCGTGGGGCACGCGACGCGACGCGACGACATGCGACACGCGAGACGTGGTTCGTGCTTTCCGCTGCTCAACGTGAGTGGTCAAAAATCAGATAACAGGGGGCATTGGGTGTGCACGGAGCAGCGTAAATCAGCAATAGTATCACTGATTTGGGAATAACTGTCAGATACTAGTATCTAAACTGCGGCTTAGTCTACCTTGCAGCTTTAAGGTAGCCTTTTCAAGAGGCTTCAGAATATCCAAGTAGATCGCAATAACAGCCCAGTCGTCGGCAGTTAGATAGTCTTCAGCTATCGATAGCTTCTGCGCAGAGCGGTGCGAGTTCTATTTGTAAACTTCTAGTGCTATTATTTCGTTAATTACGTTTCGAAGCTTAACTGCGCGCTGCATCTCGGCTAGGTTTGAATTCCACCAGGTGTTGTTTGCAGGAATCAGGTTGTATACAGGCTTCGTGGCTGCATTAGGATCGCCCGTAGTAATATAACTAGCCCGCTAGCAGTTTTGAAACTCTCTTTGTCTCTCTGCAGAGGACCAGATCCAAACAACTACATTGTAAAGCTTCCCGATAGGCCCTAGCGCCCGCCACTGCTTCTGCTGTTCGATGATTTCAACTATAGACTCCTTGTCACGGCGCTGACCTAGATAGCCTATTAGAGCGCGCCAAGCTGCTAAGCGAGCAGCTGCGCGATCGCTGAAATTCCTGCGCGAACGCGCCCTGTCGTACGCTCCTTGAGCTACGTCCTTGTCTTAGCCTGACCCCGTACTATCAGCGATATCGTAGTGAATATACTGATCACGTGCACCTACCTTCCCTGCCTGCCGACCCCGTGACACTCCTAATTCTCCTCCTCAAAGCTATTAGGATTCTCGCCGAAGAGAAGCGCCCGAGCTACCAAGTTGATGACATGGCCCATACAACGGATGCGTCGCCAGCCATATTAATAGCTAAAAGCTTCTTCTAGATCTCTTACGCACGTATCGTTCTTAGAAGCATTGTCCGCAACGAAATATCCGAGCTGTTAAGGTAGGATCTTAAATCGGTTAAGAATCGATTAGATAGTAGCAGAGATCTTTACGCCTACGTAGCTGATCTGCTCTAGAAGCGAGAGAAGGACGGTTTTGTACTCGAACTCTTAACAAAGGAAATGTGCGACAACACCTGCTAAGGGATTAGCTTAGAAGAAGCAGTTAATATACTACTTACCAGCTAGGCATCGCATCTGCCTGCTTGTCCAGATATCAAACAACAGATATATCCGCGTAATAGCATTCTAAAGCAGATCAACGATAACAAGTAGATGCCGCTCGTACTCGTTAATGATTATGCTCCGCATCGTCGTGTAGTAAGGAATATGAGGCCGGCTCTAAGGACGGAGATATTCGCATAGCTTGCGGAAATGCTCGCTCTTAAGCTTATAAAAAGGAATAGCATCAGACACTACCTAAGAAAGAAGAAGCCTCTTAAAGCGTTTAGGGTCAAATCTACTGTTTATCCAATTCATTACCTGCTGGTCTTTTAGGTCGTCCGCATTTAGCTGTAATTGCTCGAACACTGTACGGCTGCATTTCCTAGAGAGAGGCCTATTTTTTTATATCCAGTAGACGTTAAGAAG